GGGGGGGGGGGGGGAGGGAGATGCGAACCCCACCTAGTGGAACAAGTCTGTTGAGTTCAACAACCTTGTAGCAAGTTGTCACCTAGCCGTTGACAACTTGTCAACAAGTTGGGAACAAGCAGTCCTAACACATTTTGTTCACAAGTTGTTGGAACTTCATTGCTACAAGTCTGATGCAGGTTTGTTATAACTCTGTTGTTACAAACAAGTTGTTACAAATCTTTTCACGAGCTGTCGACAAGTTGTGTTCGCACTGCTTGTTCCCAGCTGTTGTAACAAGTTTGGAACAAACTGTTAATAACTTGTAAAAAGCTTGATGGTGTTATCAGACTTGTTACAACTTACTTACAAGGTTGTTCTAACAAGTCTGATACAGTCATTATATAACAAGAATGTTACAATGCAGCGAGGATCGAACCCACGATCTCGGAGATGGGTTGTAACAAACCTGCAGCAGACTTGTAGCAATTATGCCTTTCCAACAACTTGTCAACAGGATGTGTTAGCACTGCTTGTTCCCAGTTTGTGGACAAGTTGTCAACGCCTTGTTGACAACTTTGCTACAGGGTTGTTGAGCTCAACAGACTTGTTACACGTTGTTCCAACAACTTGTTATCATCGTCCTGCGATTCAATAATTTGTCAACAAGTTGTGAGTGACAACAACCTTGTAGCAACTTGATAAAATAAAAGCATTGTTACAACTTGTTGACAAGCTCCGCTACAAGGCTGTTGCGAACACATCTTGTTGACAAGCTTGCTACAAACCTGTTGCAAACACATCTTGTTGACAAGCTTGCTACAAGCCTATTGCAAACACATCCTGTTGACAAGCTTGCTACAAACCTGTTGCGAACACATCTTGTTGCAAACACATCTTGTTGACAAGCTTGCTACAAGCCTGTTGTGAACACATCTTGTTGACAAGCTTGCTACAAGCCTGTTGCGAACACATCTTGTTGACAAGCTTGCTACAAACCTGTTGCGAACACATCTTGTTGACAAGCTTGCTACAAGCCTGTTGCGAACACATCTTGTTGACAAGCTTGCTACAAACCTGTTGTGAACACATCTTGTTGACAAGCTTGCTACAAGCCTGTTGCGAACACATCTTGTTGACAAGCTTGCTACAAGCCTGTTGCGAACATATCTTGTTGACAAGCTTGCTACAAGCCTGTTGCAAACACATCTTGTTGACAAGCTTGCTACAAGCCTGTTGCGAACACAACTTGTTGACAAGCTTGCTACATGCCTGTTGCAAACACATCTTGTTGACAAGCTTGCTACAAGCCTGTTGCGAACACATCTTGTTGACAAGCTTGCTACAAGCCTGTTGCGAACATATCTTGTTGATAAGCTTGCTACAAGCCTGTTGCGAACATATCTTGTTGATAAGCTTGCTACAAGCCTGTTGCGAACACATCTTGTTGACAAGCTTGCTACAAGCCTGTTGCGAACATATCTTGTTGATAAGCTTGCTACAAGCCTGTTGCGAACATATCTTGTTGATAAGCTTGCT